ACTGACTCTGATGTGTGCTATCACTAGGACAGAAACCACCATTTTTCGCAGTTTCGCAGCGCGAACCTCAAGTCCACCGCTGATCATCAGTGGACCCGAAGGTTCCGCAGCGAAAAATGTTTCGCGCTGCGAAACGCGAAAAATTAGCTTTCTGTCCTAGTAAACCACACCCCTGAATTTAGGTATTTAACTATTTAAATTAATTCCTTGTTTTCATCACGTTTCGTAATGCTCACTAAAACTCTTATCACTCTTCAGTTCATTCGAGAGTAGAAATCGAAATCGAAATTCGAAAAGCAGAGCTAGAATATAGTTGCGGCGTACAAGAATTAGTTTTATTGCAGTGTTTTCCGCCACACTTCCTACTACTATGGTGGATGTCGGCACCTAGCTTACACCTGCATTGTGGCATCGTAAGTCATTCCTAAATGTTGCCTCAATGTGTTCGCAGCTATTCTTTATACTTTTAATCCATGAGTTTTACTGACCGCGAGGTCGTTGAGGTCGGCTGTGGTTCACTAGGACAGAAAGCGACTTTTCTGCGTTTCGCGCGCGAAACACTTTGCTGCAGGAACTCCAGGTCCACTCATGATCAGCGGTGGACCTGAGTTTCCTGCAGCGAAAAATGTTTCGCGCTGCGAAACGCGAAAAAGTCGCTTTCTGTCCTAGTGAACCACACCCGTTGAGGTCATACCACGCATGGTTTCGGCGTTCTGTGGGAAACGTGCATGGAACATAGAGCCATGCTCGATATTTCCTATGAACTGAACCCCAAACAGGGAAGGAAGATTGCTTTCAGTTGCATGTTGCAGATGGATGCCTTATTACCATAGGGACCTCAGTAACCCATGCGCTTGATCTTTTTGACCTCTCCTTGACATTCAGAGGGCCGTTCAGAAAAAATGAACTCCAGTTTTGTATTCCACGCATGAGCTCATGCAAGAAAGTGTTTTCAAGAAGCGTTGCTGAAAGACCTGGTTGGCACTAATCAATCAAGCCACATTCTTTTTTCTGCTCAATCTAAGCGAAATCTCAGTTCACATTTACAATCCAATTCACAGCCCTACCCTTCTATTTTCATAGCAAAAGAAGAGGTAGAAGTAGTGTTACCTACGATGAACTGAAAAGAGACAGATTCTCAAGCGATTCAAGAGAGTCAGCTCGCATGCTTCTATGAAAAGACTGCACTGGAAAAGGATCTGCCTAAGGCCGATGTCAGACTTTGCGAATCGCGCGATTCGCTAGCGTCTGCGGTCGCGTCGCGGCCAGTGAATCACTCAATTGGCTGGTACCGCAACGCGACCGCGGACGCTAGCGAATCGCGCGATTCGCTAAGTCTGACATCGCCCTGGTGCTAACTTAGTTGGGGGGGGGGCACGCGGCGGCGCGGCAGTCTGCTCGCCTGGCATGTTCGGAAATCCGTGGGCCAGGGGGAGTGTAGCAGTCTAGGGGGGTGGGGGGTGGGGGCAGTCACTTGACATGCGTGAAAAGCTGGAATGTTCGAGTTTACACTGTCTCGCTCGAGAGAGCCCAGGTGAGCAGACTGCCGCGCCGCCGCGTCCAACTAAGTTAGCAAGCACCTCGCCACTTGAATCGCGCGATTCACAAAGTCTGACATCGGCCTAAGAGCGAATTACCGAGGGCGAGCTATGTGACGTGAGAAGTCAGTTTAAGTGCTGGTTGGTTACTTACTTCCTTATTTTCAGAGGATGTAACGGCTCCATTCTCCATTATGGACACGCCAATGCCCCCAATGAAAAGGAGATCCACGATGGTGATATGTGTCTTTTCGATATGGGACCAGAGTACAACTGCTACGGTAGGGTAGCAAACTAATTCTTACGACACGTCCATGGAAACTCACGAATTCTTCATTGCAGCGTCTGATGTTACGACATCATTTCCTGCAAACGGAAAGTTCACTGACAAACAGAAAGTAATATATAATGCAGTGCTTGAAGCCAATCAAGCCGTCTTCAAGGCAGCCAAACCAGGTAGGTTTACCTACTCTACACAAAGGAACTGAACATCCACTCAGAGTATTTAAGGTGTCCGTTATACTGATATGCATATCCTTGCTGAAAAGGTCATACTCACACATCTCAAACAGGCCGGGCTGCTTACAGGTATCTTGCGATTCTAACGATGCTCCCCTCGTGATCAGTGCTTTGTTAATGAATTCCAAGTGAAGCTTATTGCCTACCATTTAATTTCAGGTGAAGTTGATGAGATGATTAACGCAAGGCTTGGGGCCGTATTTTTGCCTCATGGCCTTGGTCATTTCATTGGTCTCGATGTACATGACTGTGGAGGATATCTCGGGGTATTGCTTCAAAAATTTTCTAAGACTATACGTATATTTTTAAAAAAAATTGATGATAGGATGCACTGCCGCGCTCGAATCTTCCTGGTCTAAAATCCTTACGCACTACTAGGACACTGAAAGAAAGAATGGTAGGGATTGAGAAAGCATATATGAACAGAACGTGTTTCTAGATAGACTTTAGAATTTTGAAATGATTTTTTAGGTGATCACAATCGAGCCTGGTTGTTATTTTATTGACACACTGCTTGATGCCGCATTCAAGGATCCGAAGCTAGCGAAATTTCTTGTGAAAGCAGAAATCGACAAATATCGTGGACAAGGAGGGGTATGCTCATTAGAATCTAGCCATACTTTGCTGTTTGATTTGCAGTTCGAGTGTGGAGTAGATATGCGATCATTGGATCGCGTGATCGAACGGTCGCAGAATTTGCAGACGCGCATATACGTATCTGAATCTCACTCGAACTGCAAATCCAAGGCTGGTGGTCAGAGTCCGCGATCCTTCGCGCGAGTTTTTGCGCGAATTTGCGCGACGGGTCACGGAAATCACAAGTGCCCCATCCATACTGCAAGGTGTTCTCCAATCCCGCCGTCACTTCTGCTTGATGGTTATGGTTTAATGGAGACTGCTCATGATTCCACTTGTTTCATATCCAGTGTTTCAATTGTTCAAATGGGGCACTTGCAATTTTTGTGATTGGTTTTGTTTGATTCCTGAAAAAAAAGGAACGATTCAAGAGCATTTCAATGAACTAATAGACATTGAACATGAAACAAGTAGAACCACAAACATTCGTCTTCCAATCTTTACTGCCAAGCAGAATTCGCAGCAGGATTAAACAACACCTCGCAGTATTCATCGGGCACTTCCAACTCCTGTGATCCATCGCAGGTTTCGCGAAAATCGCGCAAATCGCGAAAATCGCGAAAGGATCGCGGACTCTGACATCAGCCTACGGGCAAAAGTATTAACAACGCGACGAATTTCTCGTGGAGAGGGGCATGATAGCTTTCTCATCACACCTCCACTCTAGGTTCGTATCGAGGACGACGTAATCATTTGGGAGAAGGGCAACGAAAGCATGAGCGACGTACCGAGAACTGTTGAGGAGATCGAGCAATTCATGTCATCAGGAGTGTGCAACGATTCCCCAATAAGGAGAGCATACGTGACCATCTCAACAAGCACTAAACACCCAAGTCCTCCGCTCCTCTCTGGCAACATGACCCTGTGATAACTCGCTCAATGCTAAATATGCTAGCTACTCACATCAACAACACTGGCATTAGACATGAATAATGAATAAACTATTAAATGAATAGAGATTAGTGCTCCAACGAATGAAAGTAACTCATGCTCTACTTCAAAAAATTAATAGGTAACTTGTAAATTCCTTGGTGAACTCTTGGTTTGGTTGGTCGATTCTGGGAGCAATACAGTTAAATTGGCTGCGCATCAAAACTAAAATCTGTCGGCAGCATGAAACTGTTCGTTCAAATAGTACACTCGATAGTAATATTATAGAATCGTGTTTTGTTTGGGAAAAAGCACGGATCCACTTAAAGGACGAATTCACGATGAAAAAGCAACCCATTTCAAATTAACCTAGGGATGGTGAGTGGTACACGAAAGAAGGAAGAACCATGAGAAACGGCCCAGAACCCGAGAAATGGTACCCCTTCCTTGCCCGTTGATTCGAGCATTGATGCGACTCTCATCGCTGTGCCCTCTTCAACACTACGCTCTCTCAGCTATCTAATCACTCGCCACGTATTGAACTACGGCGAGTGATCAGATGATCGGTGGGCGGAGATCGCCGGACCCGCCAGCTTTGAGGCATGATAGGTCGCCGAGGTCAAATTTTTCCATGCGAATTTGCGCGTCAGTTCGCACCCTCAGGAGGTCCGTGGGTCCCTCAACTAGGTCAGTTTCCCTTTCTTCGACCTTCATTCTAATCGTGAATTCCTCCTTTAAGGTCACCCATCCTCTCGATCACTAACAACTTCGTA